TTGAAAATTGTAAGTGTGATTCTCTCCGCTCTTTGAGTTCGTTGGTATCCTGCTTCTAGTATTGCCACTGTCGCAGGAAGGTTTATTCCGTTTTATCCTGGAAGGATTTAATCCATTACCTTGGCAACTGTGAGGGGGTTAAAATTCCTTAAGGACACACAAGCAAATTGTGAACTCGGAATTATTTATTCTATTTCTTCTTCCTCTTGTTTTTCCTTAACAGTGTTGATTTTGATTAATACACGTTGCCTAACAAAAACAACCCGGGAAAACTCTTTCTACTAGTATTTTCTCCTTCATGGTGCTCACATAACCTTCATTCCTTTGCAAGTCCTCCTTAATAACACGACTACATATAATTTGTACTTTGTCAAACTATAACATGCATGGTAAGACTATAGAATAAGCTTGAATAAGTAAATTGAATTTCAAATTTGATTTTTGTGAGAATTTTAGAGTGAATGTTGTTTAGAACTGTTGAAATAGTCTTAGAAGGTTGTCCACAAAATTTGAAATCATTCGATGGAGATTTGGACAGGTTGAACAAGATTTGTAACTAGAAATTGAAGTAGTTTGTCAATATAATTAGCAAGGTTACACTTATATATATTTTTATACACTTTTATATAAGATAAAGGCATTGTTTATATAGGTATTGTATATAATAATGTACAAGATATTGTTACAAAAAGTATCAATTATCGTGGTATAAATTAAAAAATTATGATTATGCGGATGCAATGTATTGTGTTAGACGGTATATTTTTGAAAAGTTTAAAAAATATATTAATATATTGCAGTCTCTAAAAGTTAAATTCAAAAGAACAATAAGAAAGGTCAATAGAACTTCTTGGTTGCCGAAGTCATTCAAGACTTGTTTGATCTGGCGGCCTTGATTGACCCACGTGTGCAATTCACACACGTGTCTAATTATCTCTAAATTAATTATATTAAAGCCATAAAATAAACCCAAAACATCCTCCTTGGTCACTTCTTTTTCTTCTGTCCTTTTCACCCTCAAATATTTTTTCTTAGCACTGTTTTTAATTTCTCCCTTTCTTATTGCCACTCTCACTCCCTCTAATCTTGTTTATGTGACTTTATTTCTTTTTAATTTTATGCCAAGAAAAAATAATTTATTTCTGAATAAAAATATTATTTAACTTAAACTTCTCATATTATCTTTAATAATAAGTTTTTATAGTCTTACCAACAAATTTCAAAAGTTTTTATTTCTTTCTTAAATTTCAAACATTTGCTGTCAAATATTTTTTCGTAGCACTACTCCTTTTTTTTTTTTGTTACTCCCTTCGCTTTCATTTATGTTGCCTTATTTTCTTTTCAGTCTATTGCAAAAAATTGTTTTATTTTTAAATATGAACATAATTTAATTTAAACTTTCATGTTACTCTTAATTATAAGTTTTTATACTCTCATAAATGCTACTATTACATATTAAGGCCACAAACTTCAAAAATATTGTTTTCTTTCGTAAACTCTAGTTGTTGCTAGTCAAATATGCTCAACTAAATTTAAACGGAGGTAGCATTTTATTTTCTTTTTTCTTTCTAGTAATATTACTGTCAGTCTGTCACACCTTATATATAAAAATTTATATTCTTTCTAGATTTTCATATAGTGGGCCCGTCCGACTTAAGACTATAAAAGAGGACCAATCTTCAACAACTTTCTCCACATAACGGACTACTACTAAAACTCTTTCTTTGAATTCAACTAAGATTTCTGAAAAATAGAAACAATGGATTCTTCTTCTCTAAATTTGCTCTACCATCTAAATATCAACACTTCTTCCCTTCCTTTCAACGTAAACGACTCCGACGAGATGCTTCTCTATGGTTTACTTGCTCAAGAAACCACCTCTAGGGACGGTTCTAGTGTGTTAGCTATGGGTTCACGTGATTCCAGTAACTATGAGGAATTCAGCTCGGTTTCTGAGTCAAAACCCTCAAAGGAAAGGACATATAGAGGCGTAAGGCGGCGGCCGTGGGGGAAATTTGCTGCGGAAATAAGAGATTCAACAAGAAATGGAATTAGGGTATGGCTAGGAACATTTGATAGTGCAGAAGCTGCTGCTTTGGCTTATGATCAAGCTGCTTTATCGACGCGAGGTTCGGGGGCAATTTTGAATTTTCCAGTGGAAAGAGTTGTGGAATCTCTTAATGGAATGAAGTGTTACGTAGAAGAAGGTTGTTCACCTGTGTTGGCTTTAAAAAAGATACACTCTATGAGGAAGAGGAAATATAATAAAGTAAGGGAAGTAAAAAAAGAGAATGTTAATGTTATAGTATTTGAAGATTTGGGTGGTGATTACTTGGAACAACTCTTGAGTTCAAGTGATGTGATAGTATGAATGAGATCCCGTTATCTTTAATCAACAATAGTGGATTTGAGCCTTATGAATGGAGAAATTTCTGGCTGTGACGGCTTTCCCCTTATACAAGTGAATTTGTAATTAGTCAGGTCAGTGAGATCCGCATACCAAATGGTTAGAAAAAAATTAAAATGGAATTTCTAACCCAATGTAAATCATAGGTCAATGTAACTCATTACTTTTTTTTTTTTAAAAAAAAAAAAAACATCGGGGGAAAGATTTTTGGTGGTGGCTTGGTGGCATGTAATACTCAATAATATTAATGTGATTTTGATTTTTGATTGCAGAAACACTTTCCATTACTAGGTACTCATTGTGTCCCCATTTTACTCTTAACACTTTTACTTTTTGTTATTTTCGTAAAAAAAATAACCAACATTTCTCTTTTTAAAAACTCTTTTTAATCTAAATATTTTCATTTTAACTTAGTGACATAACTTAACGAGATCGTTTTTTTATAAAAGTTCAGACGAGGACAGGCTAACTTGTTTTAGAATTAGAATCAATGGTCTGAGCCAACTGCTTCAACCTTGACCTGGAGGGATTTATCCCAAGTCCTAAAAAGACTTTACCCTGAACGATAGGTTTAATTCTAGAACGATATTAATATATATCCAGAAATAGCTTGTGTTGGACTTTAAAGGCATTGGGCTTCAAAGACTTTAAGCATTGGGCTTTAAAGTCTAAGAGTGTGAATTGGAAATGGTGGGAAATAAAATGGAGGGAAATAAAAATTTGAATAAAGTGAGCTTTTGACTTGCACTTTGTCCCTCATTGGTGAGGGACAACTACATTTGTGTGCTTATATATAGAATCACTTCTTAAAGCTCTTAAAATGAGCTGAAGAGAATGAACCCTCGCGCCGTCGTCGTCGCATCGATCGATAAGATTATTTTTGGACAAAATTTATTTAATTAATTATTTAATAATTAATTAAATGCCAGATCACTGCTTAAGATTTAGAAGGATAGTCTGGCCGCGGTCCTGGCGCAACCGCGGCAGGACGCGTAAACTTCTGAACAGACACCTTTTCCAGAACAAACATCACACCTCTTCCAATAATTGCCTATAAATTCTGAGGCATGGCTTCGTTTTTAACACACCAAAAACATTACAGAACTTCCTTCTTTCTGAAAAATATTGCATTCTAATTCGCAGTCTCTCTCTCTCTCAAATTCGTAAGTGTGATTTTGCTCCGTTCTTTGAGTTCGTTGGTATCCTGCAGTTTGTATTGCCACTGTTGCAGGAAGGTTTATTCCGTTTCATCCTGGGAGGATTTAATCCATTACCTTGGCAACTTGTGAGGGGGTTACAATTCCTTAAGGACGCACAAGCAAATTATGGACTCAGAATATTTTTTATTCTTTACTGTTTTCTAGTTTCGTTTATTCTCTAACAATTTTCTGATTTTGTGTTTTAACACAGTAATGAACAACAAGCTTAAGGAATTTTATCTAACGTTTCTGTGTTGAAATATATATTATAAACTGTTATCTATAATTTGTATACTGGTTTGGAGACTAAAGCCTTCGTGCTTTCTACTCCAATAATTATTCTGTCCGGTTTAAAGTATATCAAAACTTAACCGGAATAATAAACGTACGGGTTTGAAGTATATAAAAACTCCACCATTGTTACGTGTTGTATGTTTGGTTTGGTATTCAGTTTGAAGATATCAAAACTTCACTGATTTAACAAAGTTCTGTTTTGTTTCCAGCTCTACAGAAAAATGACGAATGAAAACCAAACTAATGGAAATGTTGCGGGAACGGGTCCTACTGTTACGAATGTTGCTGCCTCGTCAAGCCGTTCAACTCTTGCTCATGCTGTGGCACCGGCAGAAAAACCTGGAAAGCTTTTCGGTATCGACTTCAAACGCTGGCAAATGAAGATGCTCTTCTATCTTACTACGTAGAGTTTGCAGCGATTCATCAAGGAGGATCCTCCGGTCCTGGCTGAAGGCACTCTGGATGACAAACGATTTGTTGTAACTGAAGCATGGAAACATTCTGATTTCTTGTGCAAAAACTACATTTTGAGTTGTTTAGAAGATAGCTTGTACAATATCTATAGTGTCATGGAAACTTCAAAAGCGTTATGGAATGCGCTTGAGAAGAAGTACAAGACTGAGGATGCCGGACTTAAGAAGTTCGTGGCTGCAAGGTTTTTGGATTTCAAGATGATTGACACTAGGTCGTTCATAACTCAAGTCCAAGAATTACAACTCATTGTGCATGACCTCCTTGCTGAAGGTATGGTCATAAATGAGGCCTTTCAAGTCGCCGCTTTCATTAAGAAATTACCTCCATTGTGGAAAGACTTTAAGAACTATCTAAAACACAAACGGAAGGAGATGACACTTGAAGACTTGATTGTGCGTTTGAGGATAGAAGAAGACAACAAAAATGCTGAAAAGAAGTCACGTGGAAACTCGACAATAATAAGGGCTAACATTGTTGAGGAGGCGCCACAAAACAAGAAGAGAAAGAAGGCTTCTGGACCAAAGAATTACCCAAGTAAGAAAAAATTCATGGGTAATTGCCACAACTGTGGAAAATCTGGGCATAGGGCCGTGGATTGCCGTGCACCAAAGAATGATAAGAAGAAGAAAAATCAAGCTAACATGGTTGAAAATGCTGAAGAAATGGAGGACTTGTGTGCCATGTTGTCTGAATGCAACTTGGTAGGACATCCTAAAGAATGGTGGATAGATTCTGGAGCCACCCGCCATGTTTGTGCTAACAAGGAGTTATTTTTTTCTTATGCCCCCGCAGGACCCGACGAGACAATTTTCATGGGAAATTCGTGTACAGCCAAAATTGAAGGAGTTGGCAAGATTGCGTTGAAGATGACGTCGGGAAAAATAGTGACTCTAAACCAAGTTCTCCATGTTCCAGAAATTCGCAATAATCTTGTGTCTACCTCACTTCTTGTCAAGAATGGATTCAAATGTATTTTTATTTCTAATAGTGTTGTACTAAGTAAGAATGATGTGTATGTAGGAAAAGGTTACCTGAGTGAGGGCCTTTTTAAGCTAAATGTAATAGCAGTTCCTATTAATAAAGTTAATGCTTCTTCTTACTTACTTGAGTCAAACACTTTATGGCATTCACGCTTAGGTGACGTCAACTTCAAAACATTGCGAAAAATGATAAATTTAGAAGTATTGCCAAATTTGATTGCATTAATTCCAAATGTCAAATATGTGTGGAATCAAAGTATGCTAAGCATCCTTATAAGTCCGTTGAAAGGAATTCAAGTCCTTTAGACTTAATTCACACAGATATTTGCGATATGAAGTCAACACCATCTCGCGGTGGGAAAAAGTATTTTATTACTTTTATTTATGATAGAACGAGATATTGCTATGTTTATTTACTTAATAGTAAAGATGAGGCAATTGATGCTTTCAAGCAATACAAGAGTGAAGTTGAAACACAACTAAACAAAAAGATCAAAATGATAAGAAGTGATATGGGTGGCGAATATGAATCTCCTTTTGAAGAAATGTGTTTGGAAAAGGCATT